AAAGAGATTGTCCGATGATTTCTGCACTCCATTGGGTCACCTCTCTTTGGAATGGGCACAAATATGGATCTCTTCCAATCAGTTGGCCAGATAGCTGTCTTCCAAATTTCTTGGCAGAGATGAGTGAGTGCCTCCAGTGCCGCCTCACTTTCGTGAAAGATTCCAATTTTTAGTCCATCAATTCCTGGTGCCTCGTTATTTGCCAGTTCCTTCAATGCACCAGGGACTTCTTCCTTCGGTATATTTGGCTCTTGATCCTATGCTACCTCTTAAAACATTTGAACATGAACCATTTCCTTTTGGTACAGCGACTGTGTGTATCGATGGACTCAAGCATGGCAACAGTAGTGAGATTGGCCCAGGTTTGGGCAGTGTTTTGTACTGCTATGCATCAGGTTGCTATGGGTCAGTACCGACTCTATGGCACCTAACAACAGCAACACCCCTAGAAAAAAAATAAATCAAATAACTCAATTAAAAAATGGGCACAGGACATGAACAGATACTTCACCAAGGAGGAGATCCCTGCGGCCAAGAAACATATGAAGAAATGTTCACGATCACTAGCCATTGTTGTTAGGTGTCATCGAGTCAGAACTGACTCATAGTGATCCTATGCACAGCAGAATGAAACAATGTCCAATCCTGGGCCAACCTCACTACTGTTTCCACACTTGAGTCCACCAATGCTGCCACCTGGCCAATCCATCTTGTTGGAGGTCTTCCTCTTTATCTCTGACCCTCCATCTTACCAAGCATGATATCCTTCTCTAGCGACTGTTCCATTCTAACAATATTTCCAAAGTATGAGAGCAATTAGAGAGATGCAAAGCAAAACAACAATGAGATATCATCTCACACCAGCAATAAGAGCAAAGATCAAAAAAGTAGAGGGCAATTAATGCTGGTGAGGATACGGAGATACTGGAATGCTACTGCATTGCTGGTGGGATTGCAAAACGGTCCAACCTCTCTGAAAAGCAATATGGCACTTCCTGAGAAGGTTTTAAATAGAAATACTTCATGATCCAGCAATTTCTCTACTTGGTATTTACCCACAAGAAATATGAGCCATAACATGAGTAGATATATGCACACCAATGTTCATAGCAGCACTATTTACAATAGCAAAAAGATGGAGACAGCAAATGTACCCATCAACTGAAGAATGGATAAACGAATTGTGGTACATACACATAATGGAATATTATGCTACCTTGAAGAATAACAGGGAAGCTGCAAGCCACTGCATAATATGGATGAGGACATTATGATGAGTGAAATTATTCAGTCACAGAAAAAGAAATACTGCATAGGACCACTACTGTAAAGTCTATGAAAAATAACCCATATTAAAGTTAGTG